CTGCTTGGCCCAGATCCTCTCCTCCCCACTGAAGAGGCTCCTTTGTCAAACGCGGCGGCTCCCTTTGGCCCATCCGCCTGGGACCCAACAGGAGCACCTGCCAATCATCAAGCCCCACAGCGGTGCTTGCGGTCCAGGCCATCTTTAGGATCGGGAGCCGACCGCCTTGCTGCGCCTTCGCACCTGACGGCACTGAGAGCTTTGCGCATCTACTGGCTGCGAGGCGAGGCAGCTGGACTCGTTCGTTGGGCGCCCAGCCCCAGGCCCGCGGAGGACCCGAGCGAGGGGTCCAGGTCCCTCAGGCAAGCAGCAGGGACCGAGGATGGGCCTGGGCGCCCCATCAGGAGGGGTGTCAACGAGAGGTGATTCGCAAGGGTGTGTCGCAGGGCAGCCCGGCTCGTCCGCGCGTTTCTGGGGGCGAGCGGCCTCCCCTCCCCCACGCCCGCCGTCCGGGGTGCGCAGCGCCCCTCACCCAGACCGCCGAGCTGCGGGAGCTTCTGTTGCCATGGTTACCCGCCGCGCTCCGCTCCGCGGGAGGTGCCTGCGCCGCAGGCGGCGCGCTGTCGCTGAGCCCGGAGCTGGGGGCGCAGGCGGGACGCGACACGGAACGCCGCGCGCGCCGCCCACGCACGCTGCCCTGTCCCATCCCACCCCCACACACCGTATGGACACCCGCACACAACAGCACGCACACCACTCACATGCGCACACGTAACACGCGCGCACGCATCACTCGCGCTGCACTCACCGCATCCACCCCCACTGTACGCGTCCCTTCCCATGCCAGCCACACACACCGTGATCCTCGTACAACACACACACACCCTAAACCCACTCGGGACCCGGACACCTGAGGATGCGCTGTTGGAACAGGTCCCCGGCGTCTACACTCGCAGGCACAGCCCGCAGAGGGTCGCAGCCGGGTCCGCGCACGCGCAGCAAGCTGGTGCACCCCTCCCCTTTGTGACCCTCTCTGCAGATCCACCTTGTGGGGTCACGTCAGAGGAGGGGTGGCCTCCTAGGCACGCACTCCCCGACAGGAAGGTCGCCGCGGCTGCCCGGGGTCCACCACCAAGCCTACCGGGAGCGCCCAGACACCTGCCATCCGCGGGGACTCGGGGGCAGGCGCGACCAAAGCGCAGCAGGCGGTGTCCGAAGGCGACCAGGTCCGGGCCGCTCATTCGGCAAGGACCCGCGAGACGCTGAGCCTCGGGACCCGCGACCTCGGGGACACCTCCGTTTCCTCATCCCTCCCTCCCGCCTGGCAGGAGCAGGAGAAGGGTGGGAGAATCTGGGGACCAGGAAGGGACCCAGGCCACTCACATGCCACATACCGGGAGTGCCAAGAAATCCCGGTATCTCATTCATGCGGAAGAGAACCTAATCCAGTCAATTTTTTAAATTTTGTTTTTGGTGATAAATCACTGCGTGGCTTTTGACTTAAATCTCCAAAGAAGTTCAGAAAGCGGCGCCTGGGTGGCTCAGTGCGTTGAGCGACTGCCTTTGGCTCAGGTCGTGATGTCTGGGTCCTGGTATCCAGCCCGGCAATGGGCTCCCTGCTCAGCGGGAAGTCTGCTTCTCCCTCTGCCCCTCCCCCCTCGTGCTCCCTCCCTCACTCTCTCTCAAATAAATAAAATCTTAAAAAAAAAAGTTCAGAAAGAGGAGGAACATAGCCCTAGCAAAACTCTCCCATTATCATGTGTGAATTGATATAAAGTTTTCTCATAGTCTACACTAATAAATGAAAACAGGAATGAACCAAGTCTTAGGAAATAAATAATACTCACCCAAAGACATATGAACTATTTGAAAACATGCAGCTCCATCCATCTCATTAAGAGATGCAGTTCAAGGGGCACCTGGGTGGCTCAGTCGTTAAGCGTCTGCCTTCCGCTCAGGTCATGATCCCAGGGTCCTGGGATCGAGTCCCGCATCGGGCTCCCTGTTCGGCGGGGAAGCCTGCTTCTCCCTCTCCCACTCGCCCTGCTTGTGTTCCTGCTCTCGCTGTCTCTCTCTCTGTCAAATAAATAAATAAAATCTTTAAAAAAAAAAAAAAAGGTGCAGTTCAAAATTTTAACTTTTATATATATTGTATTTATATATTATATATTACATATATAATAAATATATACCACAATTTAATATACTTACGTTTGTTTGGTCAATTGATTAATTGCATTACTCAATCCAGAATAATTTTTTTTTCATACTAAGAGCCTTAGAGTTGCCGGAAATAACACGTTAAATTTAAATTATGCTTTTCTTGCAGAAACCTATGCTTGGGGGCGCCTGGGTGGCTCAGTCGTTGGGCGCCTGCCTTCGGCTCAGGTCATGGTCCCAGGGTCCTGGGATCGAGTCCCACATCGGGCTCCCTGCTCAGCGGGAAGCCTGCTTCTCCCTCTCCCACTCCTCCTGCTTGTGTTCCCTCTCTCGCTGTATCTCTCTCTGTCAAATAAATAAAATCTTTAAAAAAAAAAAAAAGAAAGAAAGAAACCTATGCTTGAGTGATCAGTGAATTACTTTCAAACATAAAAATGTTTTTATTAAAATAAAATTCAGGGGAAGAAGTGAGACAGGACCCCCCCCCCCCAGGTGAAAGAGAGAAGAACCAAGAAGAATTTGTCTATCTCTCTGGTCTCTCTGGTCTCAGAGGTCACTTCACTACATTATTTACATTTCATTTGATATATTTAAAAGAATGGCCCCAGGGAAATGGGAGGCAGTTGCATTTAGGAAAAGAAAAGAAACTTTTCTTGCAAAGAGTGCAGGGGAGGCTGACTTCACCAAACAAAAAACGCCATCAAGTATTTAAAAGGCAAAAAAAAGTCACAAGAAAACCGAGTTTCCAGCGGCCACTTTCTCACATGATTATGCTAATCCTAAAGATCAGGACACACGACAGGAAGAGCAAAGGTCAGGGCTAAAATTCTGATTATCAGAGGTTCACAGGAAATAAACAGGGTTTTCTTATTGGGGGACGCTGAGATTTGGGGTTATCCTAGGGTGCAAAGCGGTTTGCTGGTTTGGTTTGTCTGTGACTGAGGAACAGGATTTACTCAATGACCTTGAAAGCAGGACAGAATGTCAGGTTTTGCTTCTACCGAGCGAGGAACTGTTCTATTTTTTAAAAGTTGGTGTTTGGGGTGCCTGGGTGGCTCAGTCGTTAAGCTTCTGCCTTCTGTTCAGGTCATGATCCCAGGGTCCTGGGATCGAGCCCGGCATCGGGCTCCCTGCTTGGCGGGAAGCCTGCTACTCCCTCTCCCACTCCCCCTGCTTGTGTTCCTGCCCTTGCAATCTCTCTCTCTCTCAAATACATAAATAAAATCTTAAAATAAAATAAAATAAAGTAAAAGTTGGTGTTTACAATACACCAGAAATCCCATCCTTTGCACCCTTGTGAACTTAATGACAAAAAACGGTAGATACCAACCTCAAAAGGTACCAAAAGGGCATTTTTCCAAATTCTTGCAAGGGCTCCATGGACAAAGCAGCTTGGAGGCCGCTGACCTAGTTCTACTTCCTTTTGGACCCAAGAATCGGAGGAGGTGTCGGTGACAAGCAAGCCACCAAGGAGCGCAGAGAGGACACTCACCTGGGAAATGCAAGTCCAAGCCACAGCATGCCACCTTACACCCAAAGGAGGACCATCATAATAAAAGAAGAGAAAGAAAGGAAAGTGACAGGTGCCTCTGCAGACGTGGCACGGCAGCCACATGGAAAGCAGGCCAGGGCTTCCTCAGCAGGGGACACACGCAGGCGCGGGTGACCAGGGGTGCCACGGCTGGTGCATGTCCCAGGAACGAATGTCCATAGCAGCATTCTTGATAATTGCCAAAAGGTGGAAACAGCCCAAAGACACGGGTGTAGACAGAAGCAGGGATCAGCGAAGTGCGGTGCGTCCCCACCACGGGACATGACACGCCCTGGAAAGGAGGGAAGTCCCCTCCCCGCTCCCCGCCCCCCCGCTGCATGGATGGCCCTCAGAGACACGCAGAGGGGAAGAAAGACACAAAAGGCCCCACATCACAGGATTCCTTTTTTGCCGCATGTCCAGAATAGACAAATCCTAGGAGGCAGAAAGCAGGGGAGGGCTGCGGGGCTGGGGGGGGGGAGCTGGGGGGGTTGGTCAGCAGCTGCTGAGTGAGTATAGCTCCCTTGTGGCGAGATGAAAATGTCCGGGAACCAGAGAGTAGTCACGCTTGTATAGCATCTTGAAGGTACTAGATGCTACTGAATTATACGCTTGAGAGAGTTAAAATGGTAAGTTTCATGTTCTGTGTATTTTAGCACAATTTTTGAAAAAAACAGATTCCGGGACCCCACCAAAAATCAAAACAAAAAGCAGGGAGGCTGCAAGTAGGGGCTGTGTTTCAGGCCAGGGAGCCTCAATAGCAGGGCTCAGTCGGCTTAGCTGGCTTCCCCAGAGCTGCCCTGGTCCTCTGGTTGGCTAATAAATATGCCGCCAGGGAGGGACCCAAAGGCTGGGCTGGGGGAGGGGAGCCAGGAGGAGCAGCTTGAGTGTGCACCCCCCCACCCCCAGAGCCTGGCTAAGCCCCCATCCTCCATCAGAGAGGCTCAGGGAAGGTGGGCAGGGATGCTCCAGTGAGCACCAGCCTTCTTAAGGCTTTGCTGGGGCTGTCTTGAGAGTTCGGCCCACTGGTTGCGCAGGAGGCTGTGAGAGTCCAGGTATGGGAGGGGGTGACCCAGAGCCTGTCCACACGGACCAGGTTCCACACAACGGCCAGGTCTGCTGAGCTGGGCATGTGGGGCCAGGATTCTGAGCTGGCCTGGGTCCCGGGGGGCGAGCCGGCCTTTGAGAGAGAGGCCTGTCCTCTGGGCCAGCCCAAGCTATCCCATGAGGACTTAGGTGTGTGGATGATCTTCCTGGGCAAACCCGAGTTCATGCAGGAGGGGTATGAAGCTTTTCTCCGGGCCGTACAGTGCGCCAATCCTCTTAGAAGCGTCAAGTCCTCTTCTCCCTACCACGAGCGGACGCAGGCATGCAGATCTTTGAGAAGACCCTGACAGGCAAGACCATCACCCTCGAGGTGGAGCCCACTGACACCACTGAGAATGTCAAAGCCAACATCCAGGACAAGGAGGGCATCCTGCCTGACCTGCTGCATCTGATTTCTGTGGGCGAACAGCTGGAAGATGGCAGAACTGTCCAACTACAACATCCAGAGAGAGTCCACCCTGCACTTGGTGCTTCATCTGCAGGCTGGCATCATCATCGAGCCTTCCCTTCACACACTGGCCCAGAAATACAACTGCCACCAGACGAACCGCGGCAAGCATTTTGTTCGGCGACATCCCCGGGGCTGTCAACTGCGCCACACCAACAACCCGTGCCCCAAAGAGGTCAAATAAGGCCCCTCAACCAGCTCTTCCTTCGCCCGCAGGGTGGCCTCCTGCCCGAGCCCAAGGACCTGGGGCCTCAACAAAGTTTCCCTTTCATTGCCTGGAGCAAAAAAAAAAAAAAAGGCTTTGCGGTGGGGGGGGGGCCCTGCCGCAGGGAGGGCAAATCCTGGTGAAGTGCCTCCTGCTGGCTCACTTTGCAGAACGACACTTTTCAATCATCAGATTGAAGCAATCTTCAGATTGCTTGATTTTTAAACAGAGAGAACACCTTAACGGATACCTCCTACCCTCCTCATAAAATATGCAGGTTGAATGTATTCCCCATCTGGAATTAACTAGGGAAGGGGTTCTTTTAACCAGCAGCTCCTTGTGAGAAACTCATTCTGGAAAACAAATGCAAGAACCAGCCTTTCTGAGTCAACCACACCGCAGAGACAAGCCCTCGGGAAGGCCGGTGTGTTGTGTGAAAGCCTCAGGTGAACAGGCAGACGACAGCACCTGCCACAAGCATGAATCCGCTGCGTCCGGCCCTGGCAGTGGGGAGCCCGGTGTGTCTGTCCAGGACAAGTCCTTTCTCCTGCGCCACACCCGCGAGGGAGGACTGGCCTTGAAAAGTCTCTGGCTCCGGGTTTGCTTTTGGTCATGTGATTCTTGATATCGCTACTCTTAAGACTTCATTAAACAAGTAGTGTTTCTTATTTACATCATTTTCTTTTTTTTATGTCCTTTTCAAAAGAAGTTTGCTTTTCTCATATGAAACGTGGTTACAGTCAGTTCTAAGAAATACAAATGGCCCGTAAGCAAGAACAGAGACGGATGTTCATCCTAAAGACCCACAATTCCCAACTGCAAAGAGGTGCTATGTGGACCTGAAAATTCTTTTGAAAGATAACCTGAAAAGCCAGGGCCCTCCTGCCTCCTCTCACCCTGAGTGAGAAGCATTCATCATCACTACCTACACTTTGCTCTTTGTTTTTTTGGGGGGGGGGGATCCCATATTCGGTTTTGCCATGGATTATGTACCAGACCCCGGGTAAATCGCATCCTCTCTGTGCCCATTTTCCTCTTGGTTAAAATGGGGATTCATGTAGTTTTGCCCTTTTGCTAGTACGTAGGCTGAGCAAGGCCTCCTGTCCTGTTATACTGACCACAGAGGCCACCATGCAACCAAAGCGTTCGTATCCTGCGTCACCTGCATCCATAAGGATGCCACGCTTCCCTTTCACCCACAGAGAGAATCTGGCCACCCGCTATGTTGGCACTGTAAGAATGAGCACGAACTGGGGGGCTTAAAACATCCCAGACTCATTCTCTCACAGCTCTGGAGCTCAGAAGTCGGCCTGGGCCACCCCTTCAAGGCTGTAGGGGAGGATCCTTCCTGCCTTCCCACTCCCAGTGGCTGCCCGCACCTGCAGGCTTGTGGCTGTTCGCTCCAGTCTCTGTCTCTGTGGTCCCGTGGCTGCCCCTCCTGCTTGGGCCTTCTACTCCTCCGTCTCTTAGAAGGACCCTTGTCATTGGACTTAGGACCCACTCAGTTAATCCAGGATGATGTCATCTCCAGATCCTTAATTACATCCGCAAGCACCCTCTTCCATAAAGGCTCACATTCAGAGGTAAGGAGGGTCAGGACCTGCGCATGTCTTCCCAGCGGCCACCACTCAACCGTCCACACCTGCTTGCTTCCTATGCCTAACAGGTTCGCAGTGGGGGCGATTAGGATTCCACTGATCAGAAATCAAACCCATGATTAGGATATCATGACCTAGATGACTTAGTCACCTACTAGTAGAACTGAGCCTCATCCGGAACCCAGCCAGAGGTCCACTAAAATGCCCTGCGGGAAATCAAAATGGGAGAGGGACCCGTTTGCTGGGGATGAACCAGATCCGCTGGGCTCTTGGCCCGCAGACCTACCCTGCGTGCATACTCCATACGCAGGAATACTCTTCTCTCCCCGAAACATGGAGACCTTTCCACCTGTTTCCTATTTTCCACGTTTGATAGAGACGCAGGTAATGGAAATATTTTGGCTTTTTTTTAACTCGACTAAAAGGAAAACAACAACGTAAGCACTATAACGTACGGCAGTCAGCCTCTGGTCTGTGTCCGAATGCCACTGTCCCGGGATGAGGAGCTGCTCACTGCCGGTCACTGACACACAGGACCACAGCCCAGTGTGGCCACAGTGCCCTATCTTTCACAAGAAGCTGGACACTGGATATTCTTGGAGGGTGAAATCTCCCAAGTATTAAATGTTGACAATTCAGTATATTTAAAAGCCCTGGTTAGTATGTGTACCTCCCATGTCCACAGATCCACAGAAGCAGTATCACCTACAGTCAAGGGACGGAAGCACCCCATTTTGGCCATCGATGGATGAGCGGGTAAGCAATATGGGGTCCATCCAGACAAGGGAATCTGATTCATCCATAAAAAGGAAGGACATTCTGACACCGACTACACATGGAGGAACCTCAAGGACACGGTGCTCGGTGAAATCAGCCAGTTGCAAAAGGACAGATCCTCTCGGATTCTACTTACGTGAGGTACCTGGAGTCGTCGAATCCGGAAAGCTGAGAGGTTGTCAGGGGCTGGTGTTCCATGGGGACACTGTCAGTTTGGGACGATGAAACACCTCCAGAGACAGACGGTGGTGGTGGTTGTAACAGTGTGAATGTAATTAGTGGTTTTATGTTGTGTACATCTCACCACAATTTAAATTAAAAAAAAAAAGGACCCACCTTGGGCTGATCACTGGCCACACATCACATCTGGATGGTGAAGGATGCCTGCCAGTTTGGGAGTTGGGCAAAGTTCCTTGAAGGCAGCGGCGACCCTGTCTTATTTGCTGGTGTTCCCCTGGCGCCCAGGCCACCACCTGTCCAGCAGGTGCTCAGTGCTTGAGATGTAACAGAGCTTTGATGTTTCGGCTTTTCAATGCCGTGTCTGTGGTGTACATACGGTACAAAGGGATTGTGTGCGCAGAGAATCGTGTGAACCTACACACACACACGGAGGAGACGAGTGGGTGAGGAGTGTCCGGGGCGCCTAATGCTACCCACTTAGCCATCCAGACATTCAGGTTGCAACCTCTGGTCATCTGGACCTTAAAATCCTTCCCTCGGATTATGTAGAAACCTTTCATTATTCAGAGGGATGAGAGAGAGGATGTTGGGGGGACACAGAACCAGAGAACTAGTTGGAAGGATGAGCAAGGGGCTGTGGGAAGAGACATCAGCATGTCCAAGTTCAAATGCAAAGCCACCCAAAGCCAGAGGGGGAAGCTGCTCTTTACAGGAAAGAGAAGAGGAAAATGTCCTGTCGTTAAAGATCTTCAGCTTCAGATACCAGGTGTTTGAAGAGTCTGTTCTTTGCACCCAAGCCCCGGCCAGCCCACCCTAGAGCAAGGTATCAGAGACTTTGGAGAGGGGAACAGCAGCTGCTGCCCATTGTCACCCCGGCCCCCACCCCCTGCCCCTCTCTCTTTTGTCCTGGGGAGGCCCCAACCTCGTCACCAAACTAGCCCACCTGCGGGGCCAACAAGCCCAGACAGGAACCAACAGATATGGTCAATGCAGGTCTTGCTCCAATAACTGGATCTCCATATTTATCATGAATCTTCCTGGCCCGCCCTCTCCCGTCCCCACTCCCCTCTTCAACCCAACCCACTCCCCCACACTCCTCCCCACCTCTACCCTCTCCTCAACCCAATAGTAGATGACATGCCATCGTGGGGGCAGCAAGGCTTCAACTCACACCAACTCAAGTCACTACTGACCGCAGGGAGCTTTTGGTTAGGAAGGATTCTGAGGTCCAGTCTAGGCTCAGAAGGCAAGGGTGCTGTGGTAAGTTGGTGCAGATGGCCTGAGAAACAAGATGGAGAATGATGGTGCCTTCTGGTTCTGGGGTTTTTATTCTAAAGTGCATACCAAAATCAAACAAACGTTTCCTTTTGACATTGTGCAATGAAGGTATGTAAGCAAAGGAACGCCATGATTGAGCTGCTGAGTCTCAAAACTCACATCACTAGAACCATCTACCTGTTTTGCTGTAGGTATAAAATTATTTCCTTTCCATGCCTTTCAAATACAGGGTCCTAATTTCTCCGGCCGCCTGTGGGTCAGGGTTTCGGGAGGAGCAGCTGGTCTCTGACCCACAGATTTCACATCAGGAAAGTGTCTTATTTGTCCTCTCGCTCCCACTTCCTATGCGGAGCTCACCACAGCGCTACCTGGGATGTCTCCTATGGGACACTAGCCAAGTCCCGTCAACAAAAAAGGAGTCAATTTGTGGCGTAGACACTCAACGGAATACTACCTGAAATGAGCCAGACAGAAAAGAGCACATTCCGTACCATTCCATTTATACAGATTTCTAAAACAGCCAAACCAATCTGTGGGGTTGCAAGTGAGAACGGAGGTGAGCTCTGGGGGCTGGAGGAGGCCTTCCCCACGCCATTGTGCCTCTCAGAGCGGTAGCTACACAGACATCAACTCGCGTGAAAATATGCCGAGCTCTCTCCTTAAGATCCGTACCCTTTACTTAATGTAAGTTAGAGCTCAATTTTATAAGCTGCTTTTCCTGGGAGCGTATGTTTTATATGTATGGAAAACACAATATACAAAAGCATATTTAAAGTATCTTAAATATATACGAAAACACAAAATATAAATATATTTTTTTTACTGGGAGCATGTATTATTTTATATGGACAACACAGTATGTGAGGAAAATAGAAGACCAGCCTCTTGAGTTTGTCTCGGGGCACCTGGGGGGCTCAGTGGTTTGGGTGTCCGACTCTTGATTTCGGCTCAGGTCGTGATCTCAGGGTGGTGAGATCCAGCCCCACATCCAGCTCTGCACTCTGCAGGGAGTCTGCTTGGGGATTCTCTCTCCCTCTGCCCCCCCCCCCCCCACGCTCTCACGCTCTCTCTCTCTCTCTCTAAAATGGATAAATAAGGGGTGCCTGGGTGGCTCAGTCAGTGAAGCATCTGCCTTTGGCTCAGGTCATGATCCCGGGGTCCTGGGATCAAGTCCTACATCGGGCTCCCTGCTCAGCCAGAAGCCTGCTTCTCCCTCTGACCCTCCCCTTGCTTGTGCTCTCTCTCTCTCTCTCTCTGACAAATAAATAAATAAAATATTTAAAAATAAAAAAATAAGATGGATAAATAAATCTTAAAAAAAAAGAAAAAGAAAAAGAAAAGAAGGTTTGTCTCCCGGCCCCTCCACATGCAAACGGGTCCCCTTTTGGGGGCTGTCCACAGCTCACCCCGCTCCTCAGTCTTGCCTCCCCTCCCCGGCACCTGGCCACCCCAGCTTTGGGGCGGAAGACATTTCTAAATACTTGCACTCCAGAAATTGTGAGATCAAAAGAATCTTGGCCTATGTTTCCAGAGGTCACATCCAGGGGCAGGCCTCGGCCCCGGGGGCAGCGCCATCTCGAGCCGCAGGGCTCTGCATTGCCAAAGACCGTGGGAAGGGCTCTGGGGGGCTCCTGGGCTGCGTTCAGCACATCAGAGGAGGTTTCCTGCGATTGACCACCGTGGGAAGGCAGGAGAGCTCAGGATGAATCCGGGCAAGGCTCCCACGGTGTCAAGACAAAGCTGACTTTTCCTTTACAGCTGCAGAGTCAGCCCCAAGGGGTCAGGGAGTAGGAGGTGCCCACAGCGGTGCTCTGGGGTCAATACTGCAGCCCCCTGAGCACCTATATCCATAACAAGGAAAACAGGGTCCAGCAGGTGGTGGGGATTGTGTTCTTTCCGGTTGTCTCACTGCTTAGAGAATCAGCGGGTCCCCTGGTTTGGTCCAGCAGGAAATGGGGAAGCAGAAGGAAGAGGAAACCAGTAGATATTCTCCACAGGACAGCCCAACTCTCTTCCCAGGATGAAGCTTCCAGACTCCTGCTGCCACCCAGATGCTGGCAATTTCCTAGGTGAACCCACCAGTGTCTCCCGGCTCAGGAGCAAGCAGCGGGAAGGTGAGGACCACTTGGCATTTTGTCGTTCAGCTGCATCTTTCCGCTGAAAGACAGGTTATCATGTAGCCGTTTGAGGGCCAGGCTAGGAGCATCTCCTCTTTCCAAAAGAGGAGAAGCTGAGATGTAGAGGGTTTGCACACCCCCAAAGACACACAGGACTGCTGAGAAGGCCAAGGGCACCCCCTGTCCATTCCTACCTCCTGCTATCAATGCCCTCTGAGGCAGAAGGCCCCGAATACTATACAAAGCTGACACCAGAGGGACAGACAGGGTAGAAACTGTGACATAGAAAGTTACCAGTCGTGACCCAGAGAAACTTCATATGCTATGTGAGCCAAAGCTAGCTTATGTGTTTTGACTCGAGTTCAAAAAGTATGGCAGATATTTCAAATGCCAGGTTGACCAGCTATCCCGATTTGCTCAAGATTCTCCCGGTCTTAGCACTGAAAATCCCTTATACTGGGTAGCCATGTGTCCTAGGCTGCCATAACTCATTACCACAATTTGGAGGGCTTAACACAACAGAGATGTATTCTGTCCCAGTTCTGGGGACCAGAGGTCTGAAATCGAGATGTCAGCAGGGTTGATTCTTTCTAGAGACCTGGAGAGAGACTCCTTCTTTGCCTCTTTCAGCTTCCAGTGGTTGTCCCGTGATCCTTGGCATCCCTTGACTTGTAGACATATTCCAGTCTCTGCCTCCATCCTCACGTGGCCTTCTTCCTGTGCCTGCCTTAAATCTTTCTCAGGTAAGGACAGGTGTCATTGCATTTAGGGTGGCCCTAAATCTGGGGTGATCCCACCTTGAGATCCTTGCCATAATTACATCTGCAAAGACGCTTTTTCCAAATAAGATTAAATTCACAGGTCCCAAGGGTTAGAACTTGGAAATATGGAGGACGCAAGTCAACTCATTCCAGCAGAAGAAAAACCAGGATGGAATCGGTCCCAGAGAGACCAGGATGATGGTCACCTGTTCCCCCACACACACACCTCCACCACTCAGGACAGACCTTCTGCAGGAGGCAGAGGTGGGGCTCCCCGATCCAGCCCTGTGCTCACCTCAGGGAGTGGAAAGCTTGTCACCATTGCTGGGCAAGGCCCGTGTGGCCAGTTCCTGGGCAAAAGACCCCTTTCCCTGGGGTGGAGAAGACAGAATAAAGCCTCTTTATCTGCCTGCGAGCATCTGGTAGCCCCTTTTGTGGGATGGAAGCCCTGTGGTCCCCACATCTGTGGCCTCTCTTCAAGTCCTACGCTCTGTCCTACTCTCTGACATTCCTTTACTACATCCTACTCTTGGCCTCTGCTCTTTGACTCAGGCTATTTTTAGAGCAGGCACATAGTAACATAATAATGACATCTAAGGCCTGCTGGGGGCCCAGACCCACATCTGCTGGACACCCAGAGTCTTCCTGGGGCGATTTCCATGGCAGCCTCCCTCCTGGTGCCTCCATCCAGAGGTCGGGAGCTGGGTAGGCCCCTGCGTCCAGAATAGCAGACGGGAGTCGGAAAGAGAGAAAGCAGGTGCACTCAGGAGCCCCTGTGGGGAAATCAGCCCAGGGAGACCTGCCTTCCACGGTTCTCAAGGGATGACAACAATTGGAGCTTCAGAAATATCCCACTGCTCGGTCTCATGACCCTGAGGCCATAACCTGAGCCAAAACCAAGAGTCGGACGCTTCACCAACTGATCCACCCAGGCGCCCCAGAAATATCCCGCTTTTTAAACTTCAGCTCCGATTAAAAAGAACATGAGTGGATTAGGGAAATGCAAATGCTGAGCATAAGAAGCCAGGCACCCGGGCCACACACTATATGGTTCCATTTATAGGCAATGTCCAGAACAGGCAAATCCATGGAGAGAAAGTAGATAAGGGGTTGTCAGGGGCTGGGGGACGAGGACAGACAGCTCCTGGGCACAGAGCTTACAAATTTAACCTTTGGTCCATCTGATTTTTTTTTATTTTTATGTCGACATAAGGAGTACAACATTACTACTTTTTCCCTAAAGGATTACCAATCAGTCTGTCACTTTTTATGGCCTATCCCTTCCCTCTACTCTCCACCCGTCCTAATGTCACTACCATCAGAAGGTCAGAACCCTCCGTGTGAGTCTCCCGGGGCTGCCGTAACCAAGTACTGTGAACTGTGTGGCTTGAAACAACAGGGCATTAGTCCCTCGTGGTTCCGGGCACCAGAAACCTGAAATCACGGTGTCGGCAGACCCTTCCCTGCCTCTTCAGCTCCTGGGGGCCGCCAGCCTCCCCTGAAGGTAACACCTGTGTAGCACAACATCACAACCAGGACACTGTCCCTATAACCCCACAGACCTTACATACAGATTTCTCCACTTCTGCTAATTTTTTCCTTTTGGGGGGTACAGTTTCCGTACAATACAATACACCCATTTGAGGTTAGTTCTATTAGTTTTGGTAAATGTATACAGTGTGCAACCACCAGCATAATTAAGTTTTAGAATAGGGAAGATGAGGAGGAGGAGACCGGACTGGAGGGTCTCCGGGCTCCTTACAAACACCTTCTATACGTTTTCTTCAAGGATACACATTCATAGAGCGAGACACTATTTTTTTTTAAATAAGCAGAAATTAGTCGAGTGTATTTCCAGATTTTTGTATACATAGATCTAGTTCACAAACATGGAGTCATTTGGGGTACATAGTTTGTTTGTTTTTTAAGATTTTATTTATTTGACAGAGAGAGAGATAGTGAGAGCAGGAACACAAGCAGGGGGAGTGGGAGAGGGAGAAGGAGGCTTCCCGCAGAGCAAGGAGCCCGATGTGGGGCTCAATCCCAGGATCCCGGGATCATGACCTGAGCCAAAGGCAGACACTTAAGGACTGAGCCACCCAGACGTCCCTGGGGTACATAGTTTTAAAATTTGGTTTTTTAAAACTTAACATACCTGTCTGCCCATGACAAGAAAAAAAGAATTTGGGCGCTTGAGTGGCTCAGTCGGTGAAGGGTCTGCCTTCGGCTCAGGTCATGGTTCCCAGGTCCTGGGATCGAGTCCCACATCAGCCTCCTTGTTCAGCAGGGGAGTCTGCTTCTCCCTCTGTTTATGCTCTCTCTCTCTTTCGCAAAAATAAATAAAATCTTTTAATTTTTTTTGAAGATTTTATTTATTTAATTTGACAGAGAGACACAGAGAGAGAGGGAACACAAGCAGGCGGAGTGGGAGAGGGAGAAGCAGGCTTCCCTTGGAGCAGGGAACCCGATGCAGAGCTTGATCCCAGGACGATGGGATCATGACCTGAGCCGAAGGCAGACGCTTAACGACTGAGCCACCCAGGCGCCCCTAAAATCTTTTAAAAAAGAAAAAAAGTTCTACAACTTTCTATACAGTAATAAGGCATTCTGTTGCAAGGCCATCCCGTGAGAAAGGCCAAAGAAACCCCTGGGACAGTGAAGCAGGATCCCAGGACTCCATCCCCCATCCAGTTTGGGGATCATCCTGCCCAAAAGCCCCCTGTGCCCTTTGGCAGTCAGCCCCCACCCCACCCCTGGCTCAGGACACCCCGGATCTGCTTCCTGGGTCTGTTAAGTCTTGCCTTTTGTAGATTTCGTAGAAATGGAAGCATCTAGGATGTCACTCTGTGTCTGGCTTCTTTCGGTGAGCAGAGCGCTTTGAGACGCATCCCCGCTGTGCTGTCATCGACTGCCCCTTCCTTTCCATCCCCGAGCCGTCATCCCTCTACAGCCGCCCTGAAACTTGTTTATCCGATTACCAGCTGACGGGCATCTGGGCTGGTTCCGCTGTGGGGCTATTAGGAGTGAAGCTGCTGTGAGCATTCGTGGACAGGTTGGTATGGACGTACGTTTTCAGTTCTTTCGGAGAGATACCTAGGGGGATTTCAGGGTCATATGGTTAGTGCTCATGTCGCTTTTAAGCGACTGCCAACCTGACTCCCAAAGCGGCTGCACCCTTTCGCAGCCACCAGCGCCCCAGCACCCCGGATGTGTGCGTGGCTCCTGGCTCCCCCACATCCTCACCAGCACTTGGTGTCGTCACTCTTCTAAGTCCCGTCCACTCTCAGGGACATGCGGTTTGAACTCACGTTTGCCTTGATGCAGAGCATCTTTTGGGGTCAACATAAGACGTAACATTCCTACGGCTGCGTTTGTGGTGTGTCTGTTTAGATTCGTTCTCGACACCCTCCCTCTGTTTATCAGTCTCCTGTTCTGTGACATTGTGACCAGAGAACGGGGCCCATATGGTTTCCACTTGGGGAGTTTGATATTGTTTCTGGCCTAGAACGTGGACAAGTTTTACGGATGTTTGACGGGAAGCTGAAAGGAAAATACAGTCTCAGGTTGACGAAGGGACAGAAACTCAGCTCAGACTAGCTGAGCCACCAGGGGATGTCCCAACTAGCAAGGCCCCAGGTGCGTCCTGATACTCTGGGTCTGTCCCGGTTTCTGTCTGTTTCTCTGTTTCTTGTTCTCCTCTTCTCACCCTGCTTCTCTCCATGTGCTGTCTCAGAGACTCGTAGTAGATGCGCATAACCTGGGGCAGGGAGGCATGATGGACATCCCTCCAATTTAGTGACCTCGGAGGAAGCCAGACTCTCCTGCACAGTCCTCGGGCAAATGCCCAGGGGAGGGCTCGAGGCACAACAGTCCCCAGGCTGGGAGCTGCGGAAGCTTCCGGGACCAAGACCCATCCACTCCCCACACACACACACAGGACCCCACAGAGGGGGGGTCACACCCCAGGGGAGCTGGGTGCTCTCCCCATAACCAGAGTGAGGCAGCTGAACATACACATACCTCCTGCCCCCCAAACAAGACGCACAGCAGGACAGCAGGGGCGTGAGGCTCTGGTCCTGGGAGGCCTGACTCCTTCACGCCCTCTGGGTTTGCGATTGCTCACAAGGATGTGCTGAAGTCCCCACTGTCCTAACAGGCGTCATGTGCTGCATCTTTCCTGTATGAAAATTCATGACTAGGAAACCTTGGGCTGCAGTAACATCCCTTCTCCTGTTTCATGATTTTCGTGGATGATGCTCTTTAATCAAACCAGCCTCTCGTCGCTTTTCTGGCTTCTCGTTGTCCCCACATCTCTGAGTCAAGAAGCCTGTCAGTCAGGAGTCTGCTCAGAAACGCCACCTGTAGAAGTCCTATGTGTTCATCGCGGAAACGCTGGAAAGTACAGACAAGTACGAGAAGGAAAAAAAAATCATTGTAAGCACTTCTGTATTTTTATTCTTTCTTTCCACTCTCCTCTCTGTGCACTTTTATACACAGGTATTTTCACAATACTGAGACCACACTGTGTGTTTTCCTAATCCACTTTTTTCTTTTTTTTTTTTAAGAGTGTATTTATTCGAGAGAGAGAGAGAGTGCACAAGAGGGAGAAGCAGACTCCCCGCTGAGCAGGGAGCCCTATACGGGGCTTGATCCCAGGACCCTGGGATCATGACCTGAGCCCAAGGCAGACGCTCAACCCACTGAGCCACCCAGGTGCCCCCCAATCCACTTTGTTCATGTAATGTTACACATGGTTTCCACCGTATCGTTCCAAAGATCTTCCAGAACGTGAATTGTAAGGATTGCACTGAATTTCCTTGCATGAACACACTGCACTCGATTTAAGTCAGATGCCACCGGAGGGACACTGAGCTATTTCCAATTTATGTACCAGCTCTGCTGCCGTGAACGCATCGGTACACAAATACATCTTTCTATGCATCTCCGGTTCCTTTTTATTTCCTTCAGATATTCCTTAGGTGTGGTTGAAAGGATGTGGGACGGCACTGGCAAACTGCTTTCCAGAGACACGGAAGCCATTGTATCCCCACGCACGTGCGTGAGCGCCCATTCCCCCACACGCTCACCCAACCTTTGCCAGTGCCTTTTCAACGGATTTTTAATTTAATTGAGGACGTGAGGGTTTAAAATCACAAATATGCTCTGTCTGGGGATGAATGTGCCCCATGCCTACCTTTACACTACTCATTTTTATGGGTAAGGCTGTTCTGTGCCAAGCCTTGTGGCAAATACTGCAATCCCACTGTTGGGGATTCAGACCCTGATGGGGAGGAATGCAAACCAAGAAACAGTTCAAGAACAACAACACGCAAATTAACTAAACGCAGAAACCCACACTCACTTGCAGGAGGTCATCAAGCTGGAAAGGCAGGAATGAGCCTTTTGAAGAGTAAAGGGGCATATACGGGGCGGTGGGGGGGGAGCCTGTAAAACAGAGAAATTCTCTCCATGGGGCAAGCTGACGATTCATGTCAGAGTCGTAAAAATGTTTGAATGTTTTAACGAGATTTTCAAACCAAAAAGAGTGATACATTTTGATCAAAAGGAATCATGCTGATGAAGTTACAAGGAAGGCATGCATGCTGGTGAATACTGTCCCCTGGTGCATACTGTCCCCTGGTGCATACTGTCCCTGACATATACTGTCCCCTGGTGCATACTGTCCCCTGGTGCATACTGTCCCTGACATATACTGTCCCCTGGTGCATACTGCCTCCTGGTGCATACTGTCCCCTGTGTCCACTATCCCCTACTGCATACTGTCCCCTGGTGCATACTTTCTCCTGGTGCATTCTGCCCCCTGGTGCATTCTGCTCCCTGGTATATATTGCCCCTGGTGCATACTGTCCCCTGGTGCATTCTGTCCTCTGGTGCATACTGTCCCTGGTGCATTCCGCTCTCTGGTGCATTCTGCCCCCTGGTGCATACTTTCCCCTGGTGCATTCTGCCCCCTGGTATATACTGCCCCTGGTGCATACTATCCCCTGGTGCATACTGTCCCTTACTGCATACTGTCCCCTACTGCATACTGTCCCCTGGTGCATACTGTCCCCTGGTGCATACTGTCCCTGACGTATACTGTCCCCTGGTGCATACTGTCCCTTGGTGCATACTGCCCCCTGGTGCATACTGCCTCCTGGTGCATACTGTCCCGTGTCCACTATCCCCTACTGCATACTGTCCCCTGGTGCATACTTTCTCCTGGTGCATACTGTCCCCTGGTGCATTCTGCCCTCTGATGCATACTGTCCCTGGTGCATTCCACTCTCTGGTGCATTCTGCCCCCTGGTGCATACTGTCCCCTGGTGCATACCACCCCCTGGCACAAACTGCATCTGTCATCCTTTTGCAGAGCCAGTGACAGTACAGAAGGTCCCGGTGCCATTGTCTCAGCAGTGGGACACAGGACCTGGCGTTCATCTCCTCCCCATAAGGATGATGTGTGTTCCATGTGCAGTGCAAGCTTCAGAGATGAGCAGCAATCTGCTGCCACTCTCCTCCAGGTTGGGGGGAGCTGGGCTTGGTCCCAACACTATCCCATTGGCTTCCAAGTCTCCCCTGCTTCAGCCCTGCCATATCCCAGTCTCTCCCTGGCTGTCTTCACGTGTGGGTGGCAGGCAGAAACTTCTGCATCCATTCTACAAGTTTCTGAGAGTCTGTTGTGCCGTGACCTACTCTACAGTGGGGCTCCCGGGTGAACCAGCTGGACCGCACCCCTGGCCTCTCGGACTTCACTAGACCAAACCACACCACACTGGTTCCGTATTTATGGCAAATCCTGATCAGAGAGTGTGAGTCTTCCTACTGTGCTCTTTTTTGAGATTGTATTGATGACTCCAATTCCTTGGTATTTCCCCACAAATTTTAGAATTAGCTTAAGTTTCTTTGTTTTTTTTTAAGTATGCTGAGATTTTGAATGGGATTGTGTTACATCCTTAGATCAATTCGGAGGGAATCAGCAAATCTTTCAATCCATAAACAGAGTCTTCTTTATTTAAATCTTTAACTTCTCTCAGCAATAAAGAAATCAGAATATATTGAGCGGAGACCAGAACCTGAATATTTTTATTACAGAAAATTTTTATAAACTTTAAGGTTTAAAAACTCGATTAAACTTTAATCAAAGCTTAAAGTAATCCAAGAGTTTAAATGCTAAGTAACTCAGGAAACTGTATTTTGTATAAACGTATACATGCACGGTGGGGGGGGCACCTGGGTGGCTCAATCGGTTAAGCGTCTGCCTTCAGCTGATCCTGGGGTTCTGGGATCGAGCCCCACGTCAGGCTCCTTGCTTGGCGGGGAGCCTGCTTCTCCCTCTGTCTCTGCTGCTCCCCCTGCTTATGCTCTCTCTCTCTCAAATAAATAAAAATCTTAAAAAAAAAAAAATAAAACATTGCACATAGTTCACAAGGCCAAAAATTGATCATTATAACACTCTTCACTGCCAGCAAAAGACAGCGACTGCTCTCAGTGTCTTGGGTATCCTCAGAGGAAATGGGTATACATCCACCAACACACGGATTCCTTTTGGTTGCACGACAGAAATAAACCATATATTATTTGTAGAGGGTTGAGTAGTGGCCCCCAGAAAGACGTGTCCAAGTTCTAGTCCGTGGGACCTGTGGATGTGACCTTATTTGGAAATAGGGTCTTTGCAGATGTGACTGAGTGAAGGATCTCAAGATGAGATCCCCCTGGAATTAGGGTGGGCCTTAAATCCTATGACTGGTGTCTTTAATAAGGCTGAGGGGAGGGAGGTCTGAGACTCAAGGACGGAGAAGAAGGGACCCAGGGGAGAAGGCCCTCTGAAGATGGACGCAGAGAACGGGATGGTCCCTATGCCAAGGGACGCCAGGAATGGCAGGCGTCCTCCTGCAGGAGCTGGAAGACGCAGGAAGGCTTCTCCCCTCGAGGCTCTGAAAGCAGCAGGTCCTGCTGACACCTTGGTTTCAAACTGGTGGCCCCCACAACTGTAAGAAAAACAATTTCTGTTGTTTAAGCCCCCAAGTTTGTGATAATTTATCGCAGCCCTGGGTAATGCAAACAGTATCGTTCCACACTTAGGGGTTTTTTCCTCCCACATAATAACACACTACCTTGGAGGTCTTGTGTGCCCATTCGACTAGGCTACCGTCCCCACTCACTCAATCAAACATGAATGGAGGTGTTTCTTTGGAGGTATTTTACAGATGTGACTCACATTCACAATCAGTTGACTTGAGGTCAAGGAGACTGTCCTGGATAATCTGGGTGGGTCTGACCTAATCAGTTGAAAGACCTTAAGAACAGAGCTGAGGTTTCAGAGGAAGACAGCAGTCTGCCCATGGACAGCGGCTTCAGCCCCAGAGGTCCAGCCCACCCTTCCGGACAGCCTGCCCTGGGACTTCCAGCCTGTCCGGGAGGCCCCCCGCGATGGTGTAAGCCAACTCCTTGCAGGAAATCTCTTTATGTTTGGCATTTCTGGCAGCCTCTCTGGCCCTGGCCAAACACAGCATCTGGCAGAGAGCAGTCACTCGCTAAATATTTGCTGTGTGAGGGGCGCCTGGGTGGCTCAGTCAGTTGAGCGTCGGCCTTCAGCTCATGTCCTGGGACCAAGTCCTGCATCCCCTGCTGGGCGGGGAGTCTGCTTCTCCCTCTCCCTCTGCCTCTCCCCCTGCTCGTGCTCTCTCTCTCTGACAAATAAATAAATCAATAAAATCTTTTAAAAAAATTCTCTCTCTCTTCTTCTGCCCTCTGCCCTCCTCCCCCTCCCTAAAATATATACGTACAATATATATATTTGCTGTGTGAGCGGCTGCAACCCCAGAGTCGCCTTGCAAATCCCTATGTGGTGGCATCCTCACTACAAGGTAGGTCCCAAGCCACCTGCTGAAGCTGTGGGGACACGGCCATGCCATTCTGGGGCACATGTTCTCCCATCAGCAGTACTCACACTAGGACCAGAGCTATGAAAAGCAGTAACCCCAGGATGCAGCCTGCACTAAACCCAAAGAAACCTGAAATGGTGACATGGAGAGCAGCCTGCTCGTGTCTGGAGCCAGGACATGCAAAATACCAGGTTTCAGCCCAGGGAGGAATATCCCATCAAAAATACCCCAAAAGACTGTGACCACCACGGTCGGCGCCCAGAGTTATTCCTGCATGCTCGTGGGAACCCAGCGGGGACATGCAGGGCAAAGTGGCCGGGGCCGAGGACACGTGCGCTTCATGGGTTCAATGAACAGCATTCCAGCGGTGCTCATGTGGCCATCCTGGACCTTCGCTGCGGGCCTGCGTCTCTCAAAGCCCACTGTACAGAGAAACTTGGTTTCTGAAACAGGGCAGCAGGACCTAAACATTGGAACGACTCACCACCTGTCAGTCAGGGTCTAGTTAAATAAGCCACGATACACCCAACGATGGAAAACCATGGAGAAAGTCAAAGGAACAAGGCAAGTCTATCCATTCGAGGGGACATATCCCTCAGGCCACATTGCTAAGAGAAAAAAGCAGCATAGAGAACACCGTGAGGTGCACTCCCATGTGTCTGATAGAGAAGAAACCACGGGAGGGCAAGAGAGGGGGAAATGCTCCATGCATCCTTGCTGGGGGGCACCGAATACCCCCAGAAGGAAATCTAGGCATTTTCTAGATTGCTTCCAGAATGGAGAACCAGGCTGCTGGGGACCAGAGGGAGGGAGGTTTCTCAGTGTGTATCTGCTGAGCTTTTGAATTTGGCACCCCTGGGCATGCACCACTCTCCTCACTGGGTTGGTAGCCACAAAGGCCAAGGGTGGTGGAGGAGCAGAGCCCAGAGACACTCTCCTGCGCTAGTGGGAGCCCAGGCTCAGAAGCAGCAAACCTGGACACACCTTTGGCCGTCTGGACTGCCCTCAGCTCACCTGCAAAGTGGAATTTCCACAGTGTCTTCTAGTTCGAACATTCCCTGACACCAAATGCAATTCCTCTGGTTCTCCCTGAGATTTTTGCCAACAAGAAGCAAAGAAAGGGACTTTTAAAAAAATGTGTCCTTTGGGGCACCTGGGTGGCTCAGTTGGTTAACCATCTGCCTTTGGCTCAAATCATGATCTCAGGGTCCTGGGATCGAGCCCCAGGGGAGCTCGGGGAGTCTGCTTCTCCCTGTCCCTCTGCCCCTCCCACTCATGCTCACTCATGCTCTCTCAAATGAATAAATAAAATCTTTAAAAATAAATAAAAATAAAAATAAAATGTGTCCTTTGGACTTATCTTCATATTTTTTCATCAAAAAGCAGCAGGATTGGGCTGCCTGAGTGGCTCAGTCGGTTGAGCGACTGACTCTTGGATTCGGCTTGGGTCAGGATCTCAGGGTCGTGGGATCAAGCCCCACATCAGGCTCCCTGCTCAGTGGGAGTCTGCTTGAGGATTCTCTCTCTCCCTCTGCCCCTCCCCCTGCTCATGCGCTCGCTCTCTCTCTTGTTCCCTCTCAAATAAATAACTATCATCTTTAAAAAAAAAGCAGCAGGATTTGAAAAAGCAATGAAAATCTCTTGTTTTGTGGGACCTAAATGACATTTCTTTGTTTGGGTTCTTTTAGACAAAAGTCCCAACGAATGAAGGCATTGAGATAGGAAGTGCGTTTGACTCAGAGGGGGATTTGTAACGCAGGTCTCAGAACCCCCATTCCCGGAGCCCGGAGTCCGTGGCTTTACAGCGGTGCTCAGAGGATTTATAGAGGACACTTGAGATCACCTCCAGCAGCCGGGAAGACCAATTAGCAAACTCATAAATGGGCTTTCGTTTACTGCTTTGAATCTCCAAACTAATTAATGGTTTCCAAGTAAGGGTTTCACCCTAGATTTTAAAACTTTGTTAAGTGTAAGTTATTTTTAAATTTGTGAAAATAATGCATTTCACACTGGAAAAAAACTGCACTCATAAAATCGATTTATACTGTAACAATTCTGCACCAGGCAAAGGTCTTGAAAAAAATCAGACGTAGGACATGTAACAGACGTGATTAATTTGTGTTGGAACACCACCGAAACCCGCCAAGGGTCGAGTATGTTCAGATGGACTTAGAACACCTAGGTCTGCTGAGAACGTGGGGACAGAGTCAAGCCGGCCGATCTGGGGCAGGAGTATAAATCAGTGCAGACCTTCGGGGACCGTTGGACAATTCTGCACAAAAACAGCAGATCCCCGTGCCCTTTAATACAAAATCTAGGCATGCTATTCCAGACATGCTAGCACATTGCATGGGCAAACATAAAGACGTTCATCACTGCACTATTTCTAACAGTAAGACGCTGGAATCGGGAACTGATTTGATTGCAAAATTAATAAAGGACACCGTTTAAAATAAAAGCCTTCTGCAATGGGAGATCTCCCACGGGGGCTGTGGTGTGGTCACCAAAGCAACCTCGTAAAGCGGTTGGTTAACTGTCCACTTCTCACCACTTGTTAACAGTATTCCTTAGCCTCCGCTGCCCCAAGCATCCAAGGTGGGGGGGTCCAGTTCGTGCAGATATTTAGGGGCGGGCGGGGGGTGTCCCAGGAGCTTGAAAGCCTGCAGCTGTCTCGGTCAGCCCTGGAGGACCTACTGAGCGCAGGCCGCTGAGCTCCTTCCACACCTGGCCTGGCCTCCCCCACCAGGCACCTGTGGGAAATGGCAGGACCGGATCCAGGGGCACAAGATCGGAAGCCATTTAGGATTCCTTTCCCTCCTGTGTAGAAGGAGGGCTAGGACAGGCTGCCCTTTGTAAGAAGCGTTCTCAACGATGAGAGCTGCAGACAGCCTTGGGGTCTCCTGGGTCAGGACCTCTGGGGTGGGGCCCGGGGGTCAGTATTTGCGATGCCTGCCCAGGGAATTCTTAGGCAAACCGAAAGGTTGAGGACTTCTGCAAACGCCCTAGCTATGCTTATGTTTACTCGAGTTCTGACACCTAAACACCGTGTGTCATGCATACACGGTACTTATCCCCTGCGTACACAGAGTCAGAGTCCCATAACACGGCTCGCCCGTCACTCACACCTCGGTCTTGCAAATGCGAGGGGACCTGGTGGGGGACAAATCATCACGTTACGTATTAAA